CAGTACTAACACTTAATGTTAATGGACTTAATTCACCCATCAAAAGGCACCGCTTTGAAATGGATTAAAAAGGAAGATCCAACAATTTGTTGCTTACAGGAGACCATCTCACCGACAGAAATAAGCATAGGCTTAGGATGAAAGGCTGGAAGAAGATTTACCAAGCCAATGGCCCCTGAAAACAGGCAGGAGTAGCAATACTTATCTCTGACAAAGTAGACTTCAAACCTACATTGATCAAACGAGATAAAGGACATTCCATACTAATAAAAGGGGAAATAGACCAAAAGTAAATAATAATTATCACCCTGTATGCACCCAATGTCAATGCACCCAATTTCATCAAACATACCCTGAAAGACCTAAAAGCATATATAAACGCCAACACAGTGGTTGTGGGAGACTTTAACACCCCATTATCATCAATAGATAGGTCATCCAAACAAAAAATCAATAAAGAAATCCAAGATCTAAAATATGCAATAGATCAAATGGACCTAGTTGATGTCTACAGAACATTTCATCCAACTTCTACACAATATATATTCTTCTCAGCAGCCCATGGAACCTTCTCCAAAATAGATCATATCCTAGGGCACAAAGCAAGCCTCAGCAAATATAAGAAAATAGAAATTATACCGTGCATACTATCTGATCACAATGCAGTAAAAGTAGAACTCAACAACAAAAGTAAAGACAAAAAACATGCAAACAGCTGGAAACTAAATAACTCATTACTTAATGAAGAATGGATCATCGATGAAATAAAAGAGGAAATTAAAAAGTTCCTGGAAGTCAATGAAAATGAAAACACAACCTACCAGAACCTATGGGACACAGCAAAGGCAGTCCTGAGAGGAAAGTTTATAGCCATGAGTGCATATATTAAAAAGACTGAAAGATCCCAAATCAATGACCTAATGATACATCTCAAACTCCTAGAAAAACAAGAACAAGCAAATCCCAAAACAAATAGAAGGAGAGAAATAATAAAATAAGAGCTGAAATGAAATAGAAAAAATAACAAAAAAATACAAAGAATCAATGAAACAAATACCAGATTCTTTGAAAAAATAAATAAGATTGACAGACCCTTGGCAAACCTGACTGAAATGAGGAGAGAAAAAACCCAAATTAGTAGAATCAGGAATGCAAAAGGGGAGATAATAACAAACACCATGGAAGTCCAGGAAATCATCAGAGACTACTTTGAGAATCTATATTCAAATAAATTTGAAAATCTTAAAGAAATGGACAGATTTCTAGATACATATGACCATCCAAAACTGACCCAAGAGGAAATAATCACGTGAATAGATCTATAACACAAAATGAAATTGAAGCAGCAATCAAGAGTCTCCCCAAAAAGAAAAGTCCAGGACCTGATGGATTCTCTGCTGAATTCTATCAGACCTTTAAAGAAGAACTGATACCAACCCTCCTTAAACTGTTCCATGAAATAGAAAGGGAAGGAAAACTGCCAAACACATTTTATGAAGCCAGTATTACACTTATCCCAAAACCAGGCAAAGACACCTCCAAAAAGGAGAACTATAGGCCAATCTCCTTAATGAACATTGATGCAAAAATCCTCAACAAAATAATGGCAAACGAATTCAAAACACATCAAAAAGATTATTCACCACGACCAAGTAGGCTTCATCCCAGGGATGCAGGGGTGGTTCAACATACGAAAATCAATAAACGTAATAAACCACATTAACAGAAGCAAAGACAAAAACCACTTGATCATCTCAATAGATGCAGAAAAAGCCTTTGATAAGATCCAACAGCATTTCATGCTAAAAGCTCTAAGAAAAGTAGGAATAGAAGGAAAGTACCTCATCATTATAAAAGCTATATATGACAAACCTACAGCCAATATTATTATACTTAATGGAGAAAAACTGAAACCTTTCCCTCTAAAATCAGGAACCAGACAAGGATGCCCACTATCTCCACTCCTATTCAACATAGTACTGGAATTCCTAGCCAGAGCAATTAGGCAAGAAGAAGGAATAAAAGGAATACAAATAGGTAAAGAAACTGTCAAAATATCCCTATTTGCAGATGACATGATCCTATACCTTAAAGACCCAAAAAACTCTACTCAGAAGCTTCTAGACATCATCAATAGCTATAGCAAGGTAGCAGGATATAAAATCAACATAGAAAAATCATTAGCATTTCTATACACTAACAATGAGCAAACTGAAAAAGAATGTATGAAAACAATTCCATTTACAATAGCCTCAAAAAAATCAAATACCTAGGTGTAAACCTAACAAAAGATGTGAAAGACCTCTACAAGGAAAACTATACACTTCTGAAGAAAGAGATTGAGGAAGACTATAGAAAGTGGAGAGATCTCCCATGCTCATGGATTGGTAGAATCAACATAGTAAAAATGTCGATACTCCCCAAAGTAATCTACATGTTTAATGCAATTCCCATCAAAACTCCAATGACATTCATTAAAGAGATTGAAAAATCTACTGTGAAATTTATATGGAAACACAAGAGGCCACGAATAGCCAAGGCAATACTCAGTCAAAAGAACAATGCAGGAGGTATCACAATACCTGACTTCAAACTATATTACAAAGCAACAACAATAAAAACAGCATGGTACTGGCACAAAAACAGACATGAAGACCAGTGGAACAGAATAGAGGAAGCTACACAACTATAACCAACTTGTCTTTGACAAAGGAGCTAAAAATATATGATGGAGAAATAGCAGCCTCTCCAACAAAAACTACTGGGGAAACTGGTTAGCAGTCTGCAAAAAACTGAAACTAGATCCATGTATATCACTGAAGAGAACACCCACAGAGTGGGAGAAAATATTTGCCAGCTATACATCAGACAAAGGACTGATAACCAGAATATATAGGGAACTTAAAAAAGTAAATTCTCCCCAAACTAATGAACCAATAAAGAAATGGGCAAGTGAACTAAACAGAACTTTCTCAAAAGAAGAAATTCAAATGGCCAGAAAACACATGAAAAAATGCTCACCATCTCTAGCAATAAAGGAAGTGCAAATTAAAACCACACTAAGTTTCCACCTCACCCCTGTTAGAATAGCCATTATTAGCAACACCACTAACAACAGGTGTTGGCAAGAATGCGGGGAAAAAGGAACCCTCTTACACTGTTGGTGGGAATGTAAACTAGTACAACCACTCTGGAAAAACATTTGGAGGCTACTTAAAAAGCTAGACATTGATCTACCATTTGATCCGGCACTACCGCTCTTGGAGATATACCCAAAAGACTGTGATGCAGGTTACTCCAGAGGCACTTGCACACCCTTGTTTATTGCAGCACTATTCACAATAGCCAAGTTATGGAAACAGCCAAGATGCCCCACCACTGATGAATGGATCAAGAAAATGTGGTATCTATACACAGTGGAATTTTATGCAGCCATGAAGAAGAACGAAATGTTATCATTCGCTGGTAAATGGATGGAATTGGAGAACATCATTCTGAGTGAGGTTAGCCTGGCCCAAAAGACCAAAAATCGTATGTTCTCCCTCATATGTGGACATTAGATCAAGGGCAAACACAATAAGGGGATTGAACTTTGAGCACATGATAAAAGCTTTGGCACACAAGGAAGGGGTGAGGATAAGTAAGACACCTAAAAAATTAATTAGCATTTGTTTCCTTATGCAGAGAAACTAAAGCAGATACCTTAAAACCAACTGAGGCCAATAGGAAAAGGGGAACAGAAACTAGAGAAAAGGTTAGATCAAAAAGAATTATTCTAGAAGGTAACAGACATGCACAGGAAATTAATGTGAGTCAACTCCCTGTATAGCTATCCTTATCTCAACCAGCAATAACCCTTGTTCCTTCCTATTATTGCTTATACTCTCTCTACAACAAAATTAGAAATAAGGGCAAAATAGTTTCTGCTGGGTATTGAGGCGGTAGGGGGGAGAGGGAGGGGGTGGAGTGGGTAGTAAGGGAGGGGGTGGGGGCAGGGTGGAGAAATGACCCAAGCCTTGTATGCACATAAGAATTAAAAAAAAAAAGAACCTTAACGTTTACTAGAAAATGATCACAAACATACTTCTTATACAGCTGTATATAATCATCCTTTATCTATTTCAATGATCTGAATAAACCTTCATTAATAAACCTCACCAAGAACAAAAAAAAATAATAACACAGATATTAATACTTTGCTCAAAAGACAATGTAAATAAATATTTCTATCCTATATAATTTAAAATTTACTTCGAGCAACATTTCCATTATTTTTATTACGGTTCATGGACTCACTTTTTCATCAAATGTTACAAAAATTGATGAAGGTGTAGTAAGTTAATGTACATTATTACTTGTTAGCTTTAATTGTGCAATATGGATTTCCTTACTACTCTAAAAATCTTAAACAAAATCTACCTTTTATCCAGTTAGAAGCCCAAATTAACTAGTTAATTCCAATTCAAATTTCCTCCTAGACACACATAAATTCAGTTTCTTAAAATTTCAGTTTATTCTGGAATCATGGGTATGCTTAACCATATTTTGGGAGTCATTACACATTTTTACTTGAAGAACCAAGTTATAAGAATAAAATCATTAAAATTTACAGAATCATATGGCATCTTTCTTTCATATATGTAAAATTAAGGTTAATGAAGATAGACTATTAACAAGAATGAGAAAAAATATTCAATCCATGAGCAAGACAGGTATAATAATGAAACAATATAGTATTTAGAGGTACAGTAGCTGTTAAGAGAAGAGATACAAGTATTTTTAAAACAGAATTAGAACTGTTTATTTTATTAAAAAGTTGACATAGGTTATCTTTAGTGTTTATGACTTGCAAACTAAAGTATTTAATATTTAACATGTTTAAATACAAGCAGCAGCAGTTTGCTAATCAAAACGAATAATTTGAATCATCTCAGAAAAATAAATTCATTATCATTAGAATATTTCAGAATATGATTAAAACATTTAAAAAATTTGCTCACCTTTCTTGTCATCAAAGTACAGAGTCTGTTGAGCTGGATTTGACCACTGGAGGGAGGTGTTATCATTTTGATCAACCCTGCAGGTCAAAATTGCAGTTCCGCCTTCAACAACCGTTACATTCTGTGTTAGTGGAAACTGCCCTTGGCTGCCTAAAAGGAGATTAAAAAGAACATTGATTAAATGAAAGGTATAAAATGATTAGCTTGCCAAGGTCTACACTGAACTTCACTTCTTACTTAAAATATAATTTAAATCAACAAAACAACAAATTACATATTAAAAATGACAGTAAAATAATTAAAAACTCTTAATCAGAGGACAAACCTATTGACATATCATTAGGACTATTTTATATTCCCTCACATGTCTCAGAAAACCTCCTATTCCTTTTAAGCACACGTGAAGATTTATAGTCAAATAGTACCATGATAATCATTAATTTCCCTTGGCCTTGCATTAATTGTGTGGTGCTAGATTGGGTCATTTCTGAGGCTAAGGCAGTGAAATATAGGATGAAATGAACTCTCTGAAGGAGCATATGAACCACATCAAATTCTTTCCTAGTAGCTTTTATAATGTTTAATGTCTGTGAAATATGAATAATAGAACTCTAGATTAAATTTCTAATAACAAAATTATAAAAATTCTGTTTCAACAGTTTCTTATAGATGTAGCTGTTTTTAGAAATACAAAATATATTTGAGAAAATAATGTGATTATTCTCTAAAATGTGTTCATCTTGTAGACTATCCATCAAAATATTTTAAAAGCTTGGCATGATGGCATACACCTGTAATCTTAGCTACTTAGGAGGCAGAAGACAGAGGATCCTTTGAGGAGTTTGAGGTCAGTTTGGGCAACAACAAAAGCACCTGTATATCCATGTTTATTGCAGCACTATTCACAATAACTAAGCTATGGAAACAGTCAAGATACTCCACTACTGACAAACGGATTAAGAAAATGTGGTATTTACATATAATGAAATTTCACTCAGTCATAAAGAACAAAATTGCCCTCATTCTCAGGTAAATGGATGGAACTAGAGAACATCATCTTAAGTGAAGTTAGCCATGGCTCAGAATGCCAAAAATGCATGTTCTTCCTTTCATGAGGAATATAGACCCAAAACAAATGAAATAATATTATTTGACACAAGTCACACACTAAGGGGAGATCATGCAAGGGAGGGATAGGGTAAGGGAAGGAAACTAGAGACTCAAATGTGGTGGATGTGCTCTCTGTATAGGAAGGAATATAGATTATGGAGGAGAGAAGAGGACTAGAGGAGATGAGCCAGTTGGGGTTGTAATACATATATGCATGGAAACAACACAAGGAAACTCCCTGTGTAACTACCTTTATCTCAATCTAGAAAAAAAAAATCATGCTTTCCTTTTTATCTTTTTTCTTCTACAAAATCAGAGAACAGGAGGGTGGAACAGGTTCTCAGGGAGTGGGGCAGGAGGAGGGGTTTGGCACTGGTGAAAAGGGGATGTTGGTGGGGAAAGGGGGTAAAAGGATGACTACATGGATATGGTGCAAATAATGTGTACACATGTATGCAAATGCAAAAATAGTACCCACTGAAACTGTTCCAGGAATCAAGGGAGGAGAGATAAAGGAGAGTGGTGGAGAGGGTGAATTCAAGTTTGATATATTTGATACATTGTAAGAACCTTTTAAATGCCACAATGTACTCCCAACCAGCACAACAATAAAGAGGAAAAAAAAAGAAACCTGTTTAAAAAAAAAAAGTACTCTAAACCAGGAACTACAGATAATATTTCTCATTCTTCCTTTTTATAGTTACTTTTCTCTAGTAAATATATATAACTTTTATATTCAGGAAAATACGTGTTTTTAAATGACACTTGTCAGTTTAGATATCACTAGTATATAATCAAGTTTCTATCTTACTATTATACTAATTTATTAAAGCAATTCAAGGAATAAATTTACTTAGTTAGTGTACTCCTAATACTTGAAACAGAATTCAATCACCCAGAAAAATAATACATGAATTTCCCTTCAGCAAGATGATCTACAGATAAACTCTGCTGCACTGCTAGCAATGATCAACATCGGTAAAAACGACTTTCTAGAGCTGGGTTAAAATACTATTATGTGAGTAAGCTAGTTCATTAAGTCAAAGATAATTTACATGTGCAAGAACATTACAATGGCTTAATCACACCCATGAAATATATTTCCCTTTCTTCTTTAGTTGTGTAATGATTCTATTATTACTACAAGCACCACTTGAGGTTATATTGGAGCTATTGGCATAAAGAATCTTATTACCAAGAAGCCTGTTGATTGGCACCATAAGAGATAGAAGAGCCTGAGGGAAAAATTTCTTTCCAGACCTAAATGACACAAGCTCAGAGGTTCATGACCACGTTATATAATTAAGTGTATCAAGTATAAAAATCCGATATCAGGAGCTTTGCCTTTTCAATGCCAAACTCTTAGAGTCACTATGGCAACTCCCCAGGATATCTCCTGCAATCTTTAGGGTGGAGCTTTAAAATTGAGGTTAGGAGTTGTCTGGAATAAATTCTTTGATAGTTGACTTGAAAGTCAACAGGAGCCAGAGTGGGGTGTGTTTTGCCTTCAGCTCAGAGGTGACCTCTAACAGGGAAACATGGAGAACTATCAATCTTGTGATGTGAGGTGAGGCAAAAAAATCACATCAGAGAAAGCATGAGCTAAGATAGAAAGAAGGAATAATTACCCGAGACTAGCAACTCATAAATATGAAGCTCAGGAAGGTTTTAAGAATATTTTCTCAGATTTCCTGGTACTGATGCAATGCATAATGTGAGGAAACTGGGGGTAATTCCTTGCGTAATAAAAAGAACAAACTGCTAATAAATATTCATAGTTTAACCCAGATGACACTTAACTATCAACCAGAACATAAATGATACTGTCTGCCTCTTTAAAGAAGTGGAAAAAGAGCAGTGATGCTTGCAACAATTTCATCCACTACATTTGCAAAATAATTTTCAAAACATCCCCATAAGAAAACATTATCCTTCTCATTTCACAGATGGGTAAACTGATACTGGGAGGTCAGATTTTTTTTTTCCGTGATGCAACAAAATCAATGAACCATTTGGAGGTTGTGCTGAAAGTTCAACATTTCTATTCTTATCTTTCCACAAAAGCTGCTGGGTTATAGTAGCTTTAGCACTGTTTGTTTAAATTTGATTTTAGGTAGCAATGGAAAAGTTTACAATGAAATTTTAATTTTTAAAATCAAGTATGATAGGATGTCAATGTTAATTGTCCTTATATCACTTATGCTTAGAGAGTATAGAGAATTATTTGATAATAATTTATGTTTTTCCTTACTGGACCACAGAAAAAGGAACAAATATCTGTTAGGGTCTTTTATATGTCAGGTGCTTTGAATATTCAAGCACACGTACACCTTGCCTTTCCAGGTAAGAGATTAGGACAGTTTCCCAGGAACTTCTCTGCACAAGAATTCTGACTTTCAAGTAGTACAACTTCACTTCCCTGGGACTTATAGCCTAAAATCCCTGCAGTCAAATAATTTAGTTTTTCCCAATAGAAAGCAAATTCATGTGGAGAATCTACTAATCCTAAATACCCTTAGGATATGTGGCTTCCAAAATCAATTCAAAAGTCTGTGTTACAGGCAGTCAAACTTCTCAGAGGTCTGAATTGCCTTTTACTTCTGGTTATAACATGGAGAGAGCATTGAGTTGGCTGCTGCTTTTATCTTTGAACTCCTCATGGCTCAACATTGCCACTCAATCTCAGAAAGTCTTTCTGAAGAAATTATTAGTTTTTCCAATGAGGAAAACTAATATATTGTCAAATGCATTGGTTATAAAGATATTTTGTGGGACCTATTATGTGCCTGTTTTGTATAAATCAACATGAATGCACGAATAGAGTAAGAGAAACTTGCTAACAAACCAAAAAAATAATCAGAAACTTTAGGTGATACAGTGATGGAAGGCAGAAGACAATTTATTCTAAATTGCTGATCTTAATTTTCCATCTACAGGATTTCTAAGATGTATCACTTATTTGAGACCTTATTTTAGATTAATCCTTGTTCTAGTGATAGTCTTTGAGACCCTGGATTTCAGAGGATTCATTCTTATCTCACAAGCCTATGATGACATTTACTCAACTTCCATGTAAAAATCTTAGAAGTGGGCTATTTTTCCACTATGATGAACCTGTGTTCATCATTTTCCTGCTACCACTTTTTCATTGAATTCATTTTATTATTTATATAAATATCTGTCTCCCTCACTTAATTCTAAATTAACTTAAACAAATACTGTGTACACATGTATGTAAATGGAAAAATTATTCCAGTTAAAGTCATATAGAGAATGATAGATGAGGTGAATTGAAGTATGAAATAATTGATATATTGTAAGAACTTTTGTAAATTCTACAATGTGTACTCAGCAATACAGTAAAAAAAGAAAAAGATTTAAAAAATCTGAAGTAATTTAGAGTGTGTTAACAGGGGCATCTTATCTTTGAGTAAATTGCATTGCTTAAATACTGTATGGTAAATTGAAGCTCTCAATATGTGCTCATCATCCAAAATCAGTGTATTTTCATAAAACAGTAGCTGGTATTTGTAGGGAAATTTGTGACAGTAGTAAAATGATCAAAGTAACTCAGGTCTGCTACATTTGTTCATGGGCAAAAAGAAGGTAAAAGTTTAGGTTAATAGTCCACTGAGAAAAATAATGGAAATATGAAATTATAAAAGCCTTTATATACTAATATAAAGATATATTAGTATAATGGCTTAAGGCAATTAAGTAATATTTGAAACAAAAGAAAGTATAAGTAAGAATATAAAAAGATGGTTAATAAAATTATATTTATCACTTTTCAGCACTCATGTAAGACAAGAAGACAGGAAATGATAGAAATGTGCCTAATTTATGCACCAAAACAGGGGAAAGCAGTATAAAATGACATTTCTTGAATATGAAGTAAAATCCCCACCTAAGTCCTCTTAAGTAGGTGGTCTTCTATGATTCTGAAAGTATTTTACCATTCTTTTATATCAAGACTCATTTTAATCCCTTTCTTATATTACTTTATCCCTCAGCCATCACTAAGCCAGCTGCAATACATGGAAA